GGGACCGACATGGAATAGGGGGGCAGGGTCAGCAATATGGAGAAAGGATTTCCCGAGAGCCTGTCTTAAATAACGAATGAACCATCTTGTCTTCCTTAGTAAGTTTCAAGGCATCGCGTGTTCTCTCAGGGTCCCAAGTTCTCCTATCCTTTCACTGTCACAAATGGTGGTCTTATTCTTTTTAAAGAATGGGTTTGAGGTCAATGATGAGGGAGAGTGAGATATGCAGCACCAGCTGCTAATCACGAAGGCAAACCCGGACCTATGGCAGATGGTTACAAAACATCGGGCTATGTGTCCTATGATATCACAATGGCAATGAACTATTGCTTTCTGTGGTGTCTATAATAATGCCGCATTTCAGGCCAAAACAAATACAAACTAACAATATTTGTGAGGATCTATTTCCTAGTCTCTTGCAGACAATATACTTTGAGAGATGTTTACATTTCGAGAACCTGATCATTCTGAAGACCCAAAAGATTCCTAAGTTCACCCATTAATATTTTGTGGAATTTTAAAACTCAAATTCACAAAACCCAATCATGCGGGTTCCAAAACGCTAAAAAACTTTCATGCTGGGATATTTTAATTATTCTAACAACATGTGCAGACACTGAATTTTAGACTTTTTTTTTTTTTTTTAAAAGCTGAGTCATCCTGCAACCTGTTAGCAGCTCAGTTCAGGCTGGGAATCGAATCGCTGTCACTGTTGAGCAAGCTCTTAACCAACTGAGCCACTCGGCCGGCCCTGAATTTTAGACTTTTAACCAGAAAATATGTAGAATGAGGACTGTATCTGCATAGCATTGTCTTTTGTTTTTAGGAAGCTACAGATAAGCTATAATTTAGGGTAGTAGCCTAAAACTTAAAGTAGGAGATGATTTAGATCTGACAAAATATTTGTTTTGGCGCTACTGAAAAGCCTGGATAAAAATCATCATCCTGATAAATTATTTGTCATAATAAAACATATCATTTTTTTCTCCTTTAATATTTAACTGATAAATCTTTAAAAGGAAAAAAGCAGCAGCTAAGGAGAAGTCACAGAGGATGAGTGGCCACCATGAGGAAATCGACCAGGAACACTGGGATCCATTCAGTGGTCGCGTCTATCGTGATCCGTCTGTGTTTGGGGTGTCTCGCTATGTGTGCAATGCAGATGGAGTGAGTAATCCTCATCAGCTAAGAGATGACACTTAGCTGGGAGGGCAAAACAATTACAATAGAAACAAATGAGAAAAATTTAGGGCTAAACTTCCAGAAGCTAACTTTAAGTTCAAGGAAGAGATAAAAATGCTTGGACATAGCTGAAATATTTCACACATATTGTAACTGAGTTAGATTCTTAAGGACATACAGAGACATGGCAAAAGTAACAGCCTAACAAGGAAGCTGGTGGGAATGGACTGGTGGGTATCTGACCCCAAGGAAATCTCAGTCTGCCTCTGAAAACCCATGGTAAGGAATACTGGCAAAAAGCCTATCTAAGCTGGATTCTAGGAATCCCTGACTAAAAATGAAACAACAAAAATTTTCACATGATCAATTTAACATTATTAGAACACGTGATTTGAAAACAAACTTTGAATGAATCCACTGATTATTTGCAAGAGAAATTCTAAAAATGTTGTAATATTTATACAAATAT